CCACTGAGCTAAATCCCCGGCCCAAGACCTTGTCTTTAAAAACAAAAACAAAAGCAAGTGCTAGATCTCCACATGAAAATAAATGAACCTAAACTCCTATTTTATAACATACACAAAATTTATTTAAGATTTATTAAGCAAACATCAAAGTAATTGCTGCAGATAGGATCCAATGAAAAACACAAATTCAGTAGGCAAAAGTTTGAGAAGTAGAATATTTTAAACCTCTCATTAGATATATATGTCAACTACAAAGGGAAAGACAGTAGCCTTGCAGGGAGAACCTGGCACTTTACCCAGATGATCAAGGTTAACAGCACCAGTGACATGGCAACATCATGAACCTCTTGCCATGATACATTAAAAAGGACAGAGCATCATTTGTGTGATATTCTTGCCAAAAACACAAAGCTCATTCCAATTACAAAACTTCACACAAACTCAAATTGAAGGACAGTCTACAAATAAATGTACTCTTCAAAACTGTAAAGGTCATGAAAGACAAGCAAACATGGAACCTCACAGACTGGGGGGAGATTAGGACAGATAATAAATAATGCAGTATAGGGGCCTGAATTGAATCTTGGAAATGGAAAAGAACATTATTGGAAAAACTGATGAGATTTAAATAAGATCTGCATTCTACCAGCACTATATCAATATTCACGTGCTGCTTTTGATTATTATAGAAAGTGTAATAGTGAGCCAGGTGTGGTAGCGCATGCCTGTAATCCCAGCACTAAGGAGGCAGAGACAGAAGGACAGCAGCAAGTTTGAAGCCAGCCTGGGCTACAAAGTGAATTCAAGGCTAACCTGAACTACATAATGAGAGCCTGTCTCAAAAAAACAAAAAACAAAACAAAAATAAGTAAAGTAGTATGAGAGGTATAAGGGAATTGTATATTTTTCACAACTTTACTGTTAATCTAAAATTAGTTTAGGGCTGGGGATTTGCCTCAGTAGCGCCCGTGCCTGCCTCGCAAGGGCAAGGTCATGAGTTTGATCCCCAGTACCAAAAAATAAATAAAATAAAATTAGTTTAAAATAAATATTCAAAAATGACTAACAAAAAATTAATTTAACATATTATAAAAAAGGGGTCACAAATTACGGAGACAAAAATGGACTTTTTAATATGCAGATGTGACAAAAGCCAATTAAACTGAGAAAAGTAGATCCACTGTAAGAATAAATCTAACACTCTAAGAATAAATCTAAATACATAAAGGATCTAAATATTAAAGAAAAGAAAACAAGTACAACAGGAAAGAAAATCATAGGAAAGTAAGGCAGGAGTATCACAAGTTCAAGACCAGCCTGAGTGATTTGGTGAAACCTTGCCCCCCGCAAAAAAATAAAAAGGAGCTGGAGATGTAGCTCAGTGTGAAGCCCTTGGGTTCAAACGCCAGTACCACAAAAAAAGAAAGGAAATAGTGAATTCCTCTACCTCCGAATGTAAAGAAAGAATTTTGTGTCCTAAATAAGAGAAAGATACAATGAAAGAAAAGAGTAACAAATTTGATCACACAGAAGAAAAAAGTTGCATTACCAATAAATTTATAAACAAATCCAAGAGGTACTTTAAAAGCTATACAAAAAATTACCTTATGTATCACAGTTAGTAAATAACTTAAAAATTCAAAGAAAAAAGACCAAAACCTCAAAATGTGGTCCTTAAGAATATGGTCCTTAAGAAAAATGGTCCTTAAGAATATGAAAAGATGTTCAACCTGTTATGGAAAAAGAAAGAAAAATAAAAAATAAAATACCATTTCAGATTGTCAAATATTTAAAAATATAATAACACATTCTATTGGTGATACTGTGGGAAAAGAAACTCTCATACAATACTGACAAAAATGTGGAAATTTCTTACAAAACTTTTTATCTTTGACCCAGAAATCTGACTTCCAGGAATTTCTAGTGAAGATATACCTCTAACAGTAAGCCATATACATGCACAAGGCTATTCATGGCTGCTTTTTAGCCATAATATTTTTAGTAACTGCATAATATTTGCTGTATCTTTAATGTCTATACCTAGGAGAATGGTGTTAAGGTTTAGATCTAGAAAGTCCCCCAAAACACTATGCACTCAGAGGCAGAGCTTTTGGACTGTGGCTGGATCGCAGGGCCACTATAGCCATCAGTGAATTCACCCACTAAATTCAGCAGCTGAGTGTCCTATTAGGAGGTGGTGCCTGGTTAGAGGTGGGTCGGCCTCACCACGAAGGGTACACAGTATAGTATCTCCCTCCCCAGCTCTTTCTTTCTTTCTGTTTCCTGGCCACCATGATGTGAGGAGCAGGTTAACTCACTACTTCCATCTTCTATATCTACTTTAAAGCACTGAGCAACTAGAGTGTACAAGGAATCATTATTTTATGTTCTTGTTAAATCAAGATTAACCTAGAAACCTGTTTAAACACTTTGAAGAATGTTTTCCAAAATAATGTAGTGTACTGGACATGAATAGTGTAATTTCTCAAAATTTAAGAATTTTCAGTGTGTCTAAATGAGATATTATAGTCAAACTTAGGCCTCAGTATCAAAGAAGATGATTGAGAAATTGTTTTAAATAAACTTCTGAACTTCTTTCCTTACATACGAAATCAAGGTGACATCTATGTAACAGCCTAACAGAGTCACAAAACTCAAACACACGTGTCTTAAATTACCCACTGCTAACTAAATGCCCCCACCTCTCCTTTTAAGGTCTCTCTTGCATTGCAAAAGAAAATGAAATGACTACATTTCCAGTTTCTCCTCTGAAGGAAGGAAGAGGTAGACACTTAGGCAGAAACACAGCTTCCAGGTGAGTAGTTTCTCAAGAACCACCCAGTTTGTGAGAGAATTCTTAAGATTTCCAATTACTGTGAGAAAACAACACACATCAATGCTTCAGCCTGAAATAATCAGTACAGTTTCCCTAACCTTCACTCCTTGAATTCTTCCAAAAGTTTCATAAGCCATTATTAATTTTCGATATCAAAGCCCTCATACTTGGATTTTTCCTAACCTGACTGATACAGTGTGTAAAAATTCTCTATATAAGAAATTATTTGGAGAGGGCCGGGGATTTAGCTCAGTGGTTTCGCCACCTGCCTCACAAGCACAAAGACCGGAGTTCAATCCCCGGTGCCAAAAAAAAAAGAAATTATTTGGGTTTTTTTGGGGAAAGGGTGTTTGTTTTTTTCTATGTAGTTCAGGCTGGCCTCAAACTCACAGTGATCCTTTTGCCTCAGAAGAAATTATAATTAAAGTTGTTTTTTGGCTAGTAGGCTCAATAAAATAAATGTAAATCAATAAAATAAAACTTCTTGAGCAAGGCATGATGGCACACACCTGTAATTCCAGCACCTGGGAGGCTGAGACAGGAGGAACATCATACATAATAAAATAAAATACTTTTTTAAAGAAAAGGGAAAAAATCGTAAAATGATTCAAGGAAGAATAAAATTAAAGGTTAAACAGAACTGAACACTAAAGGGTGAAGAATTCCCAAAGTAAAAATGATGGCAGAAAACTTGAAGAAAGAGCGTGCTCAAACAAAAACCTTCTGGGGCACAAACGAAGAACAAAGGCACGTAATAGAGTGGTTCATACATGTAATGTGTAAAAAGAAAAAGAGGTTAAGGCCAAATAATAAAAGGACAGAAAAGCTAAATACATAGACTTTACTGCCATTTTCTAATTTAAGGTTCATAAAGAGAATTACATATTTTATGCCTAGAAAACAAAATGAGGCTGCTAAAGCATACTCCTAATTCAAGCCTACTTGTGCAAAACTGAGCAAAGAAACCCATCTTTTAAAAATATTGTTTTTATCCTCTTTTATTTTCCTGTTCAAAACTCTAACTTCTAAATGCCGACTTTTTTTTTTTTTTTTTTTTTGAGACAAGGTCTTGCTACATAGTTCATGCTGGCCTAGAACTTACTATGTAACCCAGGCTGCCCTCAAACTCACAGCTATCCTCTTGCCTCAGCATCCTGAGTGCTGGTATTATAGGCATGCACCACCAAGCCCAGCTAAAATGCCTACTTTCATCCAGTCACTCAATACCATGTTGCTCATCCTATCAAAACTATATTTTCTGCAATCATCCAAGATGTACAACTCTCTCCAGTTACACTGTTTTCTGTATTGGCCCCTGAGCAAGACTAGAAAATGCAGGTGGAAATTAATCTGCCAGTTTGCCATATCAAAATACTACAGATTGGGCAGCTTAAACAAGATAAATTTATCTTCTTTTTTGCAAGCCAGAAGTCCAAGATTAAGGCATATACAAATCTGTTTCCTTGTGAGAGCTCTCTTTTGACTTGTAAATGATAGCCTTTTTCCTGTGTTCTCAAATGGTCTTCCATGAGCACTGAAGGAAAGATTTCTCTCCCTCTTCTTCTTACAGGGCCACCACCCCTCTTAGATTAGGACCCCAACATTAAGACCTCATTTAACCTTAATTACCTCTATAAAAGTCATATTTCCAAATACAGTCACAATAAGAGCTGAACCTTCAACAAGATGAAATTTGGGACACAAATATTCAGTCCATAACACACCATGTTATTTCTGAGTTTAGACCTAGAGATTTTGCAGCTTTTGTTCATACCCTCTTCAACTATTACCATTATACAAAAAAGCCCAACTTAGCCTACTAGAGAATGAGAAGCCACATACACCTGAGCTAACAGCCAAAATCAAATGCCAGATTTATGAGTGACATTATAGTGAACCACGCAGCTACAGTGAAGCTGTAAGGTGACAACAAGTGGATAAGCAGAATTGCCTGCTAAGATCAGTCAAAACTGCAGAATCCCAGGGCCAGGGATTTAGCTCAGTGGTTCCGCCACCTGCCTCGCAAGTGCAAGGATCCAAGTTCGATCCCCAGTACCAAAAAAAAAAAAAATTGCAGAATCCCTAAAAAATAAATGAACGTTGCTTTAAGTCACTAAATTTCAGAATTATCTGTTACAAAGTAATAAACACCAACAAGTCCTACCTTCTTGTTCTGCTTTTAGACCTCGATCTCTGAACTCTATAAGATTTCCCTCGACCCCTTGAATGACTTCGACTTCGTTTTCTTCTAGAGCCATAAGAAGAGCTACTGCTTGACCGATGCCTGCGTCTGAAATAAAACACAATCAAATATTGCTATAGAAAGTTCTTGTTATAGGTATTAAAGAGAAATCTAGATTCTAAAAAGTCATCCCATTTTTACTGTCTAATTCTTTACTTGAAGTAAACAGATAAACTGTTATTTCTCTTGAACAGATGATTAATATTTAATGATTAAATCAGCTACTAAGGCATTATGACAAGGTACTAATTAAGCATCATTGGTCTTAAGTAGAACAGTCTTTCCAAATATCTCAGATAACATGGTATGAGAACTACACTACTTTCTATCTAGTTGTAAATAAGAGAATTTCTATTTAGTTGTATACAAAGGATGAGGACACCAGAACCATGGATTAGCCCTGATGAGAAAGACCTTCTGGGTTGAAACTAAACTCTCATAAATAAATAACTACTAAAAGAAAAATAATAAGGGCGGGGAGGGGGCATAGATCAATGGTGGAGTGCCTGCCTAATATGTGTGAGGTCCTGGTTCCATTTTCAGCATCACAAAAATATAAAGAAAAAAAAATTTTTTTTTGGTTTTTTGACACAGGGTCTTGCTATATAGTTTAGCTTGGCCTTAACTCACTATGTAGTCCAGGCTGGCCTTGAACTTGCCATCCTCTTGCCTTAACCTCCCGATGCTGGGACTCCAGGTGCACACCATTACACCGGGCCAAAAATTTTTTTTAAAAAGGTGTTTGTGGGGGGTGGCACATAGTATTACAGAGGTTGAGGTATAGGCCGGGGATTTAGCTCAGGGGTTCCCCCGCCTGCCTCACAAGCAAAAGGTCCCAAGTTCAATCCCCCATACCAAAAAAAACAAAAAACAAAACAAAACAAAAAAAACAGAGGTAGGAGGATTCCAAGTTCCAGGCAAGCCTGGGCTACATAGCAAGATCAAGGCAAGCCTAGACTATATGCTGAGATCTTGTCTCAAAATAAAGAAAAGAGGGGCCAGGAATGTAACTCAGCAGCACAACGGCCGCCTGGCAAGCGTGGGGCTCTGAGTTCAATTCTTGGTATCCCCCGCAAAAGAAAAAAAGAAGAGAAAAATACTTTGTATAACAAAGTTAAAAATACAAAAACATATGAGCTTCAAAGAATGTTACCCTCGATACTTCATAAATAAATATTATGAAAATCACCTTCTGTCATAAGAATGTGAACGAGGCTGAAGATCTCTGGACCAAGATCTAGACTTTGATCTTGATTTTCTTCCACCTTTCTTTCGGCTGTATGTTCTACTATCTGAAGAACTGCTGGAAGATGACCGTCTACGGTGTTTCTTTTTTCTCTTGTTTCTGCTTTCTTCTTCAGTGTCTGATGACCGGCGTCCCATTTCTATAAGCTTAAATTCAAAGAAAATTATTTCTAACACAGTGGCACAATGGGTGAAACTCAATATACAAATTTCTATGAAACTTTGCACATTAAAAAAAAAGTTCTCATGCTACCTTTAAACACCTGTGATCTCAGGCTGGCTTTAAACTCAAGTAATCCTCCTGCCTCAGCTTCCTAATTAGCTGGAACTACAGGCAAATACCATACCTATTTTGTAAAATTTTAAAAGATAAAATTTTTCAATGTACCTGGCTTCTTCACAAAACATAAGAAATGGCTTTAATACAGTCTTCTTGACCCTAATTTTTTCAAATATCTCTCAAGAGTCAATATTGTTGAGTTTACTGTTATCAATTTTATGATACTTAAGGTACTGTTTGTTATTAATTACATGATTTTCTGTTTAGTAATTCACCACCTTTTCCTTCATTTTTACATTTCCTGGAGACAAGATACTATCTTACAGGTAAATTTTTCTAATTGAGTATTCTAAATTTGTAAATGGGTAAGACTTAATCCATCAACAAAGCACAAACTATAACAATGTATTACAATCATTTCACTTGTGAAAGTCAGTAAAGGAAATATTAACTAAAGTAGTTATTGTAAAAGTCAACTCTGCCCTATTACTAGCACCTATATAAAGTGGTGTTATAAGTCTTTTGGAAAGTAAGCAATTTAAATTTTAAATTTCATTAAACTAAAAAAACAAAAATGTTGATGTGTTTTTGGGGGGGGGGTTTGTATTAAATTCTTTTATTGGTACATTGTAGGTATACAACACAATTACATTTCTCATTGGGAATTGTACCTTTACATAATGCATCTTGGTTCTT